ACACGCTGCTCTCCCTCCCTGCGGCCCCGGGCACAACCTGCACTAATGCGGCTAGAAAAACACCACCCTTCGGAAAGCACGTGCGTTTTGAAGCAAAAAAACCCTAACAACCCCAAAAACATTAGTGTAAAACTTTTATCCTAATTTTATGCTGATCTTCAATGTAAAGGAAACTGATTTAGTGACCTTTACACATGTGATTCACAGCAAAGTGAAAGTATATCTGTTAAAACATTGAAAGTCCAGTCTTGGTTTGCTGAAAAGTCAGACCAAATCGAACTTGCTGGCTAAACATCTTGTTTGCTTTTCAGGGTGGTTTTAAAAATTTGTTTTATATTTAAATTCTAGATGCTTCACAGAGGAGCTGAAGCAGAACCATGTGGAAATTGTTTTTAATTTTGTAATGAAAGCTCTGATTTATGATGTGTGGAATCCCTCAGAAAATAGTAATATCTGGCTTCGGAGCAAAAGTTTAATGTAAGAAAGAACAGCGAATGGAAGAAAAACAAGAGACTTCCAGATCAACAGGCAGAGCACAAAGACACATATTCTGTTAGGTTTTTTTCTTTTCAGCCTCAGCATTTAATATTATTTGTAGTTGACTAAAGAAATTGGTGGAAAAAGTTCTTCACAGAAGTTAATCGAGTCAAACAAAAGAGGGAGCTCTTTGTACACCTGTCCAGCTTTTTCCTATGGTTACTTTACCAAGACCCTGATTCAGCAGTGTAATTCCTGTGTAGGAATATACCTAAATGCTTTTGTAAATGCAAACCTTGTTGAGGGTGTGTGTGTGTGTGTGTGTGTGTGTGAGAGCAACTGAAGAGAAGTGATTCATACCCTCACTTAGTTACTGGTGATTGACAGTGTCTTTACATGACAAATTCATGCTGATATGAGATTTTTGCAAGACTGGAAGATGAAGAAACACCAATAAAAATATAAAAACATTGTCTGAGTATGGTAAATTACAGAAAAACCACCACCAAAACAACTCTGTTGCCGTATATTTAACAGGATAATTAATTGAGAGGAATAAGATATTAAAAGTATTTGTAATTAGAATACAGTGAAGAATGTTCTAAAACTATTGAACAGTTTGACAGAACTGGCTGAGATGGTCCTGAAGCTATTTGAGGTTTGAGTTGAGGGTACCAATCCACAAATCAAATCCTAGTACTTAAAAAAAAATTTGTGCACACTTTCTGTACATAACTTGTGCTGAATGTGAGGGTACTGTGTATAGACTGACATTTTCTTTATGACAGCAAAGATTCTAACTATATCTGCAACTTGGTTTTGTAGAATTAAGTCTCTATATATTGACTTCTTATATATTTATAGTTATATAAATTGTGTATGTGTATAAATGTATATATGCATACACAGAGTAAAACTCAGTGTTGAGTTTGTTGGATACCAGGAATATATATATATATACACTCAGAGAACTTAAGACAGTAACGATGCTTTTTATGTAAGTTGAAGGTATAGGTTTGACACTTTCTTTACTGTTTGTGATCAGCTGCTGTTAAATTAATATAACTTAGAGCTACAAAAATTGCCCCAAGGTAGATGATCAGATGAGGTATATTAACTAGATACATATTGACTGAGTTTTTAGCTGAAAAAAACGACCACCAAACAGTTACTATTTGGGTAATTGTTGCATTACAACAAATCTCATAGTCATAGTCAATCAGTTGATTAAGAGATGATCTGAAGTCTACTTCCACGACAAGCCTAAAGAATCCACTGCCAAGCAAGGCAGTATCCTGACGGTTGCTAGTGACAGGGGCCTTGAGGTGATGTAAGCTCTTTAAAGTATTCTGGTTGCTGTCCTTTCTGTGAAGTTCACATATTGCCAGTGCAGTCATTTTTCAACCACTGCTTCCAGGATGGTTGTTTGTTTCAGCTAAATAAACAACGGCAATCAAAATGCAGTGTGAAAAGTGGAAAAGAACCCAAACTACAACAAGAAAAAGATATTTTAATATTCATGCTTTTATTTGAGACTTTTGCTGTGGACTTGTGTCTAAAATTCTCTTCCTACAGGCTCTGTGAAATTGTGGCATTCACAGTGTTAAGAATTTAAAAAATCTATTCTTTCAAGATTTGTGCTAATTACATGACTGCTGATTGTGAAAAAGGACTAGTGTTTATTTTTGCATGGGTGATACGAAGGGAGTATTCAATTTTCTGAGCTTCAGATGTTATACCGTGAAATGACACTCCTTGTCACATGATGGCTAATCCAGTCATAATAGCTGGCAACTTTTGTGTACACACCAGGGTGACCAGCCTCCCCACAGTTCTCACCCCAGCTCACAATACCCCAGACATGAGCCACGTTCTGTTTATCATAACAGATCAAGGGTCCTCCTGAATCACCTTTGCAACTGTCTGTGGAGCCATCATAAGTACCTGAGGCAAAAGAGGAAATAAAAAGCAAAAAATAAGTTCATATACAAGCTAGCACACAAAGCAGAACTCAGGAGATTTTTTTTCATGTTCATGTCACTTCCTGGCAGTTGTTTGCCTAATGGTCACCAGTAAAGGAGGTTCTGAACCTTTTCAGTCTATTCTCATTTCTTTTTAGGTGCTGGGTCTCCCTAATATTTGTGGCTGGCTCAAACTCTCCTCATTTGATTTTTTGGCAGTCATGTGAGTCTTGTTTTACCCTGTGCAAAAGAGAATAATTCAGCCATGCTGCCTATTGCATCACAAGAAGTAACCCATAAAAATGGAACAAAAGCAGGAGGAAAAACATTCAAAGATTTGTAGGCTGATTTCTGTGGAAATGAAGATAACGTAGTATGTGTATGATTCCATGTCTGCCTTTGGTCTCGTCTCATTGTCCAGTTTCTTCTGTACAATGAGGCCTCAAAATAATTTTCTTTACCAGCTCTATGAAAACAAGTAGGCAGGTACAAGAAGGAGAGCAAATGAATCCTGGGGTGGGAGGGAGAGCAGCTGTCTGTAAGTGCCCTCATTGCAAGGTCTCAGTCTCAGTCTGGACCTTTTGCAACCCCAGATAGCAGCCCTGAGGTACAAGTGTGTAGGATCCAGTATTCATGAACCTACCTGTTTGCAATTCAGCAAATAATACTGCTTGTGAAAAAAAGGAATTAAAAGTAAAGGATGTGCTATAAACAGAAATGTTGCTATGGAGTTAGAATATGATTTATGCCTTTTCCTATATACTCAGTAAAAGTGTATTAATTTCTAACACCCTTACTACACTTTTCTGCTTGGCCTAGTATGAAGGAGTCGACACTAAGCATGAGTCTGTCAGTTTTAAAAAATGTAACCTCCTTCTTGAATGAGTTAGGTGAACTTTTCAGAGCTGCAATTACTAATCCTATAAACCAAGATTTTATTGCCTTTAATCAGTTTAATTAATATTTGCTTGTATAACTAACTTCCATGGATACTAGACCTTAATTTCAAAGTTTGTATTTACATCAGGGAGAAGTAACCTCAGATATTCCTTTTCTGAATCTATCCCAAGTGATACTGTCTGTGTCCCCTCCTGATCACTTGAAGAAAAAAAGAAAGAAGTTACACAACTTGTGAAATAAGTAAATCCAGTATCTTACAGATGACAGGCTGAATTTATCACAAATGATTTGGCTTTTATACTTGGTTTTTGTTTTCTCACTGAGTAGCTGGTTTAAATACTGCTTTTACTTTTTGATTTAATGAACAGTTGAAACTATCTGCCCTGTAAGTTGAATACTCGTTGCTCTTTCATTCATGTATTTGGCAATACCTTTCATTACTGGAGAAACAAAAAATATGTATTCAAAAGCCTCATTTTAATACTCATCATGACAAGTGGTTTCCTGGATAGACTAATCTAAGTTTGAAAAGTTAGCCATATTTCCTCGGGGTTCAGAGAGGTAGTAGCAAATGTCTAAGCAGGTGAATAGTTACATTCTAGTCAATGGAGCTACTAATGCTCTCTAGGTTAGGCATTTGCTTAAACAGGTTGCTGAATCAGAATCAAATGTAGTAAAGGTAGGAAGTTCAGAGGGGTGTAAATTGCTTGTGTATTTCAAAAACATAACTCAAATTACATGCAGAAATTTGCCCACATAATCATAGAAACCTGGCACACTGTGATCTGAGCTCTCTTTATAAATAGGTATATAATGGTGGATGCTGTAGGCTCCAATGGTTACCATTTGTCCAGTAGTGATAGTGTGGTAACTGGTTTATTGCCTTTCCCAAGTCTGGATTCCCAGCCAGTATGTCTGACCTTCTAAACTGTGAGTCTGACAGTAGAAAAATTCTAGTCAGAACATTGATGCTTACCTGCACATGCCATTTTTTTAAAAAATCGCCCTGGATACAATTCAGAACAATTATTAAATAAATTAACATTGCCCCATTTGAGGATATATTGTTTGACGTAACCTAGAAAAGAACAAAATTTTCTAAATTTAAAATGGTAAGTACATAGTAGACACATTGAATATAATAAGCTGAAAGTTATGTATTTACTTATTTACTGAATGTTGTCTTCAGTATTATAAACCAGAAACCTTAAACTGCCAGTAACATTTGCCCCATATGAATCACAGTCCATTGGCCATATATTTCAAAAGAAAAGCAGAGTGGTTTAATTGCAGTGTTAACTGCAGCGGTTTCATTTTGTGACATTTTCACCCTTTCCATTTCCTTGCCTTCCTCAGTTGTTTTCTTCCTGTGTTTTCCATATCAGAGATTTCAGACACTTGGAAACTGGTGTATTGTTTTCTATGAAATGGAGATGTGGCTGTGATCATCCTTGTTACCTTTTTTCCAATTCATCTCTGTCTTTTCTGGATGAGTGGTCCAGTTACTGAAGATACGGGTGAACTATGTATTCACAAATATAAGAAGCGTCTCTGTTTTGTTCTCTGTCTGTTTGCTGGCAATTCCTGATTTTGCATTTGCTGGGTGGATTGCTACTGAGTATGGACAGGAGCAACCTCACAACCAGTATGTGGTAGCTCTAATGCCAGGCTGTAATGCTGTGATGCAAAACAAAGGCTTCAGAAATCTTTGAAAGCCTGATTGCATTTGGCTTATCTGTTTCTGTGCAGCCTTTTCTGGGCTAAACTCAAACATGGCTGAGACAGGATGCGCTAAGTTTCCTAACTGGTGGCTGCAGGGGACAGAGGACAGGCTGTGACTATAGGGCCCTGTGAGCCACTTGTTAAATGTCATTAACAGGTCTCCACAACTAATACAAATACTAGATGGACAAAAGGAAAATTTCTTATTGTCAGGGTAATTTTCATTCAGGGGTGTCCTACAGATCAATTTACTAAGTGGCTGAGTGTCAGAGGAAGCAGTACAGAAAAGAGAGTGATCGCTGAATGCCAAGCCACAGCCTACATTTTCTGTACTCGGCCTCTTCTTAGTGCTTTGTGCACAACTGTTCTTCAGCCTTCTCAAAATTAAAGCTCACCACAATTAGAAAACGAGTGATACAAGTAATACATTCTTGTAGCCAGCACTAAAGCAAATACCTTTCTCTAGTCCCCATCCAGAAACCTTGCATCTGTCACCAGTGTTGAACATATACTCTGACCAGGGGATACAGGCAGGCACGACGTTTTCCAGGAAGCACTCTCTGCTCCCAGAACCTCTCAGCTCCAGCAGAGCAATGTCATTTTCATAAGTTGATGCATTGTAATTTTCATGAATTATCAGTTGCTTTACTTCTAAAGTATTTGTCTCTTTGTCATACAGTATTGTATTCAACAGTCCAATCCAGACACGGTAGAGATGGACGCGATTTGCCCTGGAAAAAAACAGTGAAATAAAATGGATTTTGATACTTAACACAAGCAATGTACTTAACACAACCAGCTGTAAACTTTGGCATTTTATCAAAGTTTCTCTAGAATAAAAATTCATGTTATATACATATAATTTCTTTCTGGACTCGATGACCAAGTTTTTCTGAAGTGTAGCAAATTCAAGACAGATGACACATGATGAGTAGTGCAATTAATACAGAAAAAAAAATTAAAAGCCAGGCTCTGTGTTTAGTGCTGTGACAAAGAGAAACCAGGTGTTTATGCTGCTCTGAAAAAAGAGTGAGCAGGTGTGGATAGGACTGGCAGATCTTCCCTGAATACTCTTGCTTGTTCTGAGGGATGCATGGCCTCAGGGACATTCTCAGGGCACAGATCCTGGACTTCCACAAGGTACAGATGGCGAAGAGAGGAGGTCCTTTGTATTTTATTTCAGGCAGGGAGGTTATGGTGAACCTTTCCTGCCTGCCTGCTGTCTGACTGAAGAATGCCATGTCTCTTCAATCTCGTAATTACGTTTTTATCCTTCTATTTACTGCCAAAACATTCTACTTTCTCTGAACCTTGCCCATTGTTAATATGGGTGAGTCAGTGTTTTAAATTGTTCTATTCAATAGACATAGAAATGAGCAAATTAGGTAGCTGAGAAGGGCAATAATATCCAAATCAATCTTTCTGCCTTGCAATAAGAAAAGAACAACACAGTTTGTTGTTCTTACCTGACACAGTGTGCAGCAGTCAGAACCCAACAGCCACCAATATAAGCCCCTCCACAGTACACCGTCCCTTCTTTGCTGATGTCTCTAATTGCCACTTGCCAAGGGAATTCACCCTGTTCAAGCAAAAAACAAATAGCGAGAAATCATAACTGTACTATTTTTAGTGCATAAAGGGAAACGCATCTTTTGGTGTCACCTCATCTCCTTGACTATGTCTGATTATAAGTAAAAGATCTGCTACCCAGAAGTTGTGAACTGGGCTCCCTCAGATATAAAGGATATAAATAGTAAAATGCAGTAATTTGATTCAATCTTATGACTTTATGTGATGCCTTCTTCCCTCCAGCTTTCAGTCATGAAACCCCTTGGAGTTAGAGAAACAGATGGAGGATCTGACCGGGTTTGGTCAAGTACAGCATTTCAAAGATGAAAATTTTAATTCCGTTTTGCCAGAGTTGTTATTTCTAGCTATTAGTCTTAAGTGTTCTTCTGAGTAATTTTCAGTATGTAATTTTACTACAATGCTCAATTTTGCAACTCCATGTTTTACAAGTTGTGCTTCTCTTTACTTTCATTCAGTGTGATGCTACTACTTCTGCAAAACATGAAGTGTTGTAGCTGATTTTTTTGTTTCCATATGTTCAACAGAAGGCAAATAATGCCCATTTAAATTAATTCTGAACAAAGTGGTATCTGGGAAGTTTATTTTTCTTACCTTTTTGGCATTGTATCCACCTACGATTCTTTTCCGTCGAGTGAACGTATGATTTGTAACACCACAGTGCACTTTGGGAAGAAGTGTCTTTACCATTTTTCTTTCTTTAACAAAAAGGAAAAATGTATCTCAGAATTCAGGTATCCATTCTCTCTATTTGGAGACAGGTTTATCTTTACCTAGAAAATGTGAGTGCTGTGAATATGCCAGTAACTGAAATAGCAGGAAAACAAAGACCAGAAATTTTAGCATCTGTTTTAGCTTTGACAATTGCTTTTGTCTTAGCATCACATTATTTCTTTTAATTTTCCATGGCTGCTTGCATTCAGGCAAATAATTTAAAAGCTGTTCCCCTAGATTTGCTGAGAGTTTACCTCCACTGGTTGCCAAAACATGCAGACGTGGGTCCTCAGCCAGGATGAATTATTATGGCATTCTTGAAATTTGTTAAAAGCGAGAAAAATAGTAAGGCCCAGAGTGTATATTACTAAATCACAAAGTCCAAAAGTCTGAGTGTTCTGGATCTGACCAGCTGGCTGCTAGCTAGAAAGTCACCAATAAGAGGATGTGCTGTTGTTTTTGGAGAGCTAGTTACACTTACCTTCATCCACACTGTCATTTTCATCACCTTTTATTCTCTCTGTAGTAGAATAACAAAATACTAAAATTACTGGCATTTACTTGAATATACGTTTCAGTGCCAAAATCGTGGTACACATTGAAATGTGTAAGGGCATACTATTTCACATGGAGAGCAATACTTTTAAGCCTGGTTCCTGGTCTTTCCTTTCCTAATAGACACTGGCTGCCTCAGCCTACAAATGACCTACAATCAGCAGTTACTCTTTTGTAACTACATGATATCTACTCTGTTTTCCAAGCCTAAGGAGCCCTTCTGCAAATAAACCCAGAGAAACAGCCTTTTTTTCTTGTTTTTGATCTTTAAAGTGATATCCCATTCTCCTCCATCAGGAAACAACAGAAATTTCTCCTCCTGACCCATCAACCTTTTGAAGATTTCTAAAGCCCAAAGGAGCATTAGGAAATAGGGTTGGGATTTTTTTTCCCAATTTAGATTGTGCTGTTGTGTACTGTATGCCTCCTTTAACAGGGTAAGGGAGGGTATTCAACATGAGAGGTAAATTAAATGCTACCTGAATCTGTTTTTTCAGCTTTTATTCAAACCAATTGCCCACTGAATTCAGTTCCTAAATGGGGACTGAGCATCGGGTCTGTTTTCATGTCACTGACAGTAATGTTTACATTTAGAGTTCAGTTTACCTGTACTAATTACCATTTACTGATAGTGTTTACTTTTTGGCTTTAGACTTTGTCTCTCATCAGAGCAAGGAAAAACATTCAAATTTCAAAGCAAAGTGAAATCTCTTCAATAGAGAGGGGAATAGCACAGAAGAATTACTATAATGGCAAACTAGTTGAATTCCTCCTCTGTGAGGAAAATATTCCTGCTTGCCCTCTCTACATTTTCTTCACAAATAGGGGATACCAGTTTGAGAGATGGCCACATAAACAAAAGACAGAATCTGCCTTAAATGTTCTAAAACATCATCTGTTTATACCTTTACTTTTTTGCTGTTCTCTTCTAGAAGGAAAGGGAAGAAAACTAAATAATCTTTTCTACCTACTATGCATAACATAACATTGGGAAGACAAAATCTTGCATGTATTTTGGTTCTGCCAATATGATAATTTAATAATATGCATTGTGTAGTCTCTAGTTAATAACTGAGCAGAATGAAAGGAAAGAAACAAAATCACCGTTCAGAGGGGAACTTTCACAGCCAGCTTCATCCTCTCCAGTGAGGCAGTCAATTTCCTTGTTGCAGACATTCTTATTTGGAATACAGATATTTGACCAACAATGGAAACTGTTGTTTCTGCACTCTGTAACACAGGAGAGTTACAAATGTAAATCACAGGATCCTATGAATCAGCAACCTCACATAGGCAAAGAGATTTTTAAAATATAAAGAAAATACAATATCCATGTCACAGAGGACTTGGCTATTCATAAACAGATCAAAAAAGCAAGCTCTGTAATTGTAAACAAAATGAACACTTGCCTCTCTGCTCTTTATAAGCTCAAAGTTTTAAGACTTATAAAAGTGGATCTCTGTTACCAGTTCACTGCTGTATTTCTAGGCTTGGTGTTGCTCCATACTACTTTCATCCATAACACATGCTCACACTCAATCTCAGCCAAAGGACCTCCAATTTTGTCAGCACTACTGATCATCTCAAATAAGGAACTGATGGTGCTTGGGCCAATCTCACACCACCCATCTCCCAAATCAGAGACCAAACTGATTTTTAGTTGAAGAAGCTAAATGCAGGGTTAAGAATCAAGAGTCTTGTTATGATGATACTGGGTGTAATAACTTGCTTTTTCTAAAATTCTTGATTATATGAAAAGGTATTATAAACCTGAGAAACCCCTTCCTTTTAATTTTTGTGATCACTTTGAATGTTATCAAGAGAAAAGCAGTGCTTGAATTTATGGCAGGATTTTTTGAGCTTATTTAAAATCTTAGGTCAATCTACTATTTAAGGATTTATGTCTTTAATAGAAAATAAGGGAGTTCTCTAAAAGAATGATCCAATATTATGCAAAGACCACTGAACTCAGTTGAAATACTTGATCTCAGGAAGCATAATTTTCAGTCCATTCAGCTGAAACAGCATGATTATTGTCATCTAGAATCCAAATAAATGCCTTCCAAGCATATGAAACACAGGTGTTTATTATTTTTTCTAAAATGCCTATGACTGTGTTTCCACAATTATCAGATTAAATCTACTTAAAATTGTAAAACTACAAAATTAAGGTTATGTAGGGATAATGATGGGATTTGTAACCCACATGAACATTTGGCACGGGAAACCCAAATTTTGAAAGTATTCTCCTGCATTCATGTCATGCTAGATCCATTCCTTGTTTCTAATCAGAAATTTTATAGCTGGAATTGCAGATGCTGAAAGAATGACTGCTCGTGAACAAACAATGTGACAGGAACTGTTTACAGATATTCTATGGATAATCTTGCATTAGTAAGAAATTTAAGAGAGATCTTACTTTGGTTTAAAGATGGTTCATTGGAAAAAGTGTCTTTGTTTAATTACTACTGTTTTTTCCCAACTAAAAATACATTTACATTCTAATATGCCTCTTCTTTTTGTGTCACTGTTTGTCAGCCTCCTAAATAATCTCATTGTATTTCCTCATGCTCTGAGGAAATCCAGATTCTCAGAGGTCACTTGCCTGCCTCAAAAAAGTATATTATGTTGGGTTTTTTTCTGCACTTGCCTATACATAAACTATGGTTTGATTGCTCCAATGTGACTTGTTGGAAAAGAGAATTTTACTGTTACATCACTGTAAAAATTCTTTGAGGGTGGTTTTCTGCTGAGATGATTTTGAAACACCCAAGAGAGGAAAATATTACCTCTACAGCACAGTTCATCACTTAGGTCTCCACAGTCATTGATTCCATCACAGGTTTTATTCAGAGAAATGCACTTCTTGTTGACACACTGAAACTCACCATCTGAGCATTCTGTACAGCACAATGAAAACAAAGTTAGTGTGGAATTGTCTATAGGTTCACAACTGCCCACACAAATACTCTGCCTGCATATTTTATTCTGTCAGTAGTTTGGCCTGTCAACAGTAGGCATGCTGAGGCCCAGTCATGCAAGTAGGAATCTTTCTTTTATTATTTTAATTGCTTTCAGTGTGACCACTTATTTTCCTCCTCCAACTTGCAGTAGCCTGGCAAAAGGGAATTCATTTCTTCTAGATAAGGATAAGAACAAGCACTAAACTAGAAATGGTCAGTTCAAATCCACTGTAACTGATTCTAGAGATTAAGATGATGGATGCTCCCCCTCTAGAAAGAACTCAACAAGTGTCTGAATAACTACTTTTGTGGCATAAGAAAAACCTGAGACAATTAATAGCTCTCCTAACCATCAAAATCTCAGGCTGATGCTTATCAGTCCCAAAGAAAGCTCAGTACAGAGAATGAAAAGTTGTTAGGATTCTAAACAAGGCCTTGATTCCCCTTTTATCAGTGAGAAACTGAGGAGTCCCAGAAGACACCAGCAGTTCCACTATAATCATACTTGTCTGGCTACATTGCTACTAGTGTACTAATTGATCTCCCTCATAGAGAAAACAGTCAGTAGGATCTTGTCACCTGTCTCCTCACCAGTTAAGACAGGAGAGTTAAGGCTTGTGGGATACAATATACCTTGGTAACCTTGGAAGGGATGAGGGAACAAACAGAACCATGAGTGAAATACATTTACTTTGGGGATATATCTGTGAAAATACTTTAGGAGCAATAGTGATTTTCCAAACTCATAAACACAACTGTCTTAAGATTGCCACACTTGTCTTAAAGACTGCAGAATAATTATTTTTAAAAAATCAAAAGGTTTCAGTGCAGGTTGGCTGAGAGTTCAGCAAACTAGGTCCTCATTATTTAAAATAAACTTAAAATGTAAGAACTCCAAATAGATATGAAACTAAAAAAACTACTAACCTCTGAGATTTTTATAGCACTGTAGGCTAACAAGTCCCTCATTACTATCTCTTGACTTCATCTCTATGTGACATTCAGCAAGACTTGTCTCTAGGCCCCTGCAAGTTATTTGCAGACAGTCCAATGGATTTAAGGCAGATTCCGCGGTGGTGGAACTGGCTTGGAATTCAGCGCCTCTGTGAAAATACAAAGAATAGTAACAAATTATATAATTTCACAATGGATTGTCCACTGCTTTTATTATTTAGAATTTATATGATTTTCCTCAGTGTTAAAGAATTTTGTTCATGACTAAGAAAAAGAGTAGACTTCCCATGGAATTGTCTAGGAGTAAATAGGAGATGTTTACTTTGAGAGAAAAAGGGCTAATTTTTGCAGGTTGCTGCATAGAACTGTCCCCAAATCCATATGTAGTTCTATGACAGTCACTGTGTATCATGATGGGTAGAAAAGTCTCTTATGCAGCAAAACTTGTAAGCTCAGATACATGTCCATGTGGACACAGGTGAGGCACAACTTGGAAACGATCCTGCATGGGGTCAAGTATCCTTGATGTCATCAAAACCAATGCATATTGAGGAACTCAGGCCACTGCGAGGCTGTGATTAATAAATTTTATCTTTCTTGGTTTTACATGAGCAGTATCCTCCTAACAGTGTATGTGTTCCCTTCCTTAAAGAAATATGGATTGAGTAAATCAGTTACTAGAGAAGCTTTCAGTGAGACTCTAGGGCTGAATGCTCTGTCCCTGAACAAACCCTTCTCTGCTATCTAAAGAGATACTGATCAAGACTAGGAAACATTTGCTTCTCACCTAGAGGGGGCAATTTAGGGCACTGCAATAACATTTTTAGTCTTCAGGTAGGGTTGGGGAGGCAACTCTACCTGATCAAGTTAAATTAGTTGTACAGGTGTAAAATTACTATGTACAACATAACAATTTACTCTTTATTGAGGAGCTGAATACACAACTCGGGTCACTAGTGTGATCATAGGAAAAAGGTTCCATGTGGCTTCAGCCATCCCTGGGGCCAAAGCAAGCAATGGCTGTGGGGGCAAGGACTGAAGAAAAAACCCACCGTGTTCTGTTTTTTGTTAGTCTGGCTGGTGCAAGTGGCAAAACAGAACTGTATCCTGCTGCCAGCTAGCATGAGAAACCTTTCTCTGCACACAGATTATTGCTCACAGCTACTTGGGGATGGTCCATCCACGCACTTTCCCTTACACAGACCTGAGAGAACACCTCCACATTAGTCTTCAGCATTATTTAAAAAGTAAAACAATTATGGTTTGTATAGTTGTAATATGTAATAGAACACAGAAATCTGTGGTTTGGCTTTCACTCTCAGGGGTCGATTTAAGAAATTTTATCAGAATATTGTAGCCAATATATTGTTCATGAGTTTTCTGTCTTAACTGTTGGCTGGCTGTGACTGACATTTTGGTGAGCATTACTATTTTTTCAGATCCCTGGCTGTTATCCAGAGCTGAGTTCCCCAAACTTACAGTTCAAAGCCAAGGTGCTTGCAAGCCACATTTGCTTCATTCGTAGTCCATCCATTAGCGCATACGAAACTGTCATCCTTTTGATTCACAGGTTTTACACGAAGCAAACTTAAATTTCCATGACTTGGAGAGATTGAAAATGTTTCTAAAAGAAAAAAAAAAGGGGAAATAAAATCATATTTAGATGTATCTGGTGGAAAGACAGCACAAAACCAAATCAGAACTACTTTTGTATTTATAGCCAAAGTTCATATGGAAACAAACAGTAGATTGGAATTCAGAAGCTTCAGGTATTATTCCTGAATTTTCTGAGGATTGACTTTGTGCTTTTGGGTCTGCTACTTTTTCACAATATAGCAGTTTAAGGACAAATGAGAGTAATTATTCCTACCACATAAGAGTAACTGGAGGTCTACCGAGGACAGGTTGCATTTTGGTATAATGACCTTCATTAGGGACTTTTGATAACCAACACTTGAAGTCACATGGCCAGATCTTGCTTCTACTACCTGTGTAGCAAAATGTCTGCTGTGTACAGTGGAGCTAAGGTCCTTGGCTTAACATAGTGAAGCCATATAGAGAGCACATCAAGAACAGATGGAGGTTCTCCAGACCTTTTCAGTGGAATAGGCATTTGAATTTTGCCACCCTGAGGGTGATGGGCTGAACTGCTGCTTCTGGGGGAAAAGGGACTGATGTCAGGTACTGGGACAGAGACTGGGAAGGAGAGCCCTAGGCCTGCCTTGGTGCTCCTGCTGCGTTTGGTGGAGGTGGTGCTGAAGGACAGGTAGAGACAGAATCTGCCTCTGCCTAAAGAGCCCACCTGCCCAGTTAGCAGGAGCCATTTTTCCCTGCACTCACACAGAGGGAGCCAACAAAGGAGCTTGGTGCAGCCTGAAAAGCAGGTCAGTGCCCAAACTGTTGCTGGTTTGTGGGACACCAGCTTTCTGTTTTGATGAAACCCGCAGCGCAAAGATGACTGAGGTAAACATGGCTTATTTTCTCCCCATGCACTCACACACACACACATACCTCAGCAGCTTGACTCCATTCCTTGGATTCTTACTCCTGTGAGGTCTGTCCCTCTCCAAAGATACCCTCTCTGTTAATATTCACACCAGGCTCTCTCCTACTGCCTCCCACCATAGTCAACACCCTGCTTGGAAACCTTCGAGCTCTTTCCTGTGTCTATTTCTTCCCTTCTCACCTGATGATTTGCGCAGCCTAGTAGCATCAGGGTGACCTGGGCCTGTCAGTCACTTTAGTTTTATGAAAATCAACAGATATTGCCCATTTTCAATGACTTTTCATTTCCTGTTTCATGGTTTTACTAGTGCAAGAAAATGAACAGACTTTCTGAGCTGTAAATAGTAAGCACCTCCCTAGCCACCAAGGACTGATAACTTTTGGAGGAGGAGGTGTTAATACCTTCAGGCATGCATTTTCCCTTGTGCAGAAACTTTTCTTTGGGTTGTTGACACTCATAGCTCTTCAGCTGGCAGTAAGTACTGAAGTGCATTCTATTGGCAGAACAAACTGAAGAGCCATTCTTTGGGCACTGGTAGGGAAGCTTGCAAAGGCATTTTCCCTCCACACATCGTTCCCATGGGTCACAAAAGACTTTCCTACAGGACTTGTGGGTGTATTGGTTGCTTAAGCATTCTCCTATGAGGTACTTGTCTTGCTTGGCTGGCCAGTTAACCTGCCCAAACTGGTTTTCTTCAGCATTAGATGCAGCATTCTGTGAGGCACAAAAAAAATAAAAGGGAGTAAGATTAGAGACTGCACCAAGAGTTTTGCAGATCCCTTTACTGGCCTAAGCAGAGTGTCCATTCATTAGCCTTTTCCCATAACAACCACAGCGTTGCTAAATATATAGTGTTTATCTCCTTGCCTTTAGCCATCTCGTCCTTCTATGTTTTTCTAAACATGAAACATGAAAAATATGTACGGATGGCCTCTGCATAAAAATGGGAGAGAAAAGTTAGTCCTCGAATGTGATTTATCAGCCTTATCAACCGAATCCACAGAGCTGAAGTTTAAGGTTCCCATGAGAAATCACAGCCACAGTAAGGTCAGTGAGGATGCCCATGGGGCAGAATTTAATCCAACAACCCTCCTTTCAGTGGTTGTATAATCTTATTAAATTCTTCCTGTTCTCAGGTCAGCAGAATCCAAGCTGTGAGCCAGATCTGGCTTGGCGTAACTCCCATATTGTGCTAGGTGTTTCTCCTGAACGGGAACAACAGGTGCTGATTTTTATCTCAGGATTTCTCCAAAAGACTTGGGGCATGCTGCATGCTCAGCCCAGATCAGCTTTCTGGGACACTGAAAACAATCTGTGGCAAACCTTCTGGCAATAGGATACACCACAATACCATGTCAGAAGACTAATCCTGTTTCTCAATAAAGGGGGGCAGGGAACATTGCAGCACCTTTCTGTGGTCAGCCATGGTTGCAAATTTAGTTTAGGATAGGACCATGATTAAAATCTTTTCCAGAAGCCTGTTAGCATAAGCCCCAGATAGAATCCATACATGAAATAGCTTCAAACATCCAAGCTAGACTAAAGCAAATGTATGAAACACAAATACTATGAAAGGAAACTTTAAAAAATTCAACTGGTTTTGCTTGAATAAAAATAACCCATTTTTAAACTCTTTCTAATAAATTACTGCTACCACAATGAAACATATCTTACCTCTGATCCACAGAGACCAAAGAGAGACAAGAAAACCAAGCAAATTGGGAGCATTCCCATGATGGAATTTTATCTCCCTTGGCAGATGAATCCCTCTGGCTGGGATTCTTTTGAATGTCAGCTGTTAGATTTGTGTTTAATTTTTAACCATTAGTAAAATATTTTAAAGTGTGTTTAGAAATAAAGTACAGGATCCTCAACTATTAACTGATAAATCTGGTATTTCCAAAAGATCCCACCTCAGTTTAACTGGTTTTATCGTAAGTGCATGACGAGATACCAAAAGTAAAGCCCTGAAAGTAAATGATTAAAAGGAAGCAGTTATTGAGGACACACCTTCCTTTTCTTTGGCCAGAGGAGTCTGACTGAAACATCACTCTGTCTCTCCTGCTTGTAGGCTATTCATCTTTGCCAGATTATTGTGAAAATGTTTTTATATACAGTGTACCTATGGAGAAACACTACTATCCATGCATTGTCCATTACATACTCATCGGGATTACAAACTCAGATGACACGATTTGTAGCCAGAATTCTCAAGCATTTGACAAATGCCTGAAGTACAACTCTGGCAGCTTATTTCCAGGGAAGCTTTGACCGAAGCCGCCAGGACGGAGCCGGCGCTGCCCGCGCCCCGCGCAGGGCCGCGGGACAGGCAGAGCTGTCAGCG